CTCTCGTCGTTCTCTCCCTTGTCACTTCCTCCTCTGTCGCGTCATTCTCTTCTGCCTCGTCCTGCGCCGCCGCCGCCTGCCGTTCCCTTGTTCTCTCGGCTTCTTTCGCCTTTCGGCGCAGCTCCGCCCTCCTTGCTGCATATCCTGGCCCCTCGAGTCTATCGAGCTCCCCTCGCGCAAGGACCACATTTCTGACTCCCACTCCGATCATTTGCCTCCAGGTCATGTTGTTGCTCAGGTCCACTCTCTCTTCGAACACTCGTGCCTCTACGGATGATGCCGGCGCTGGGGTCCCCTTCGGATGCATCGTGACATCTGACAACTGGATTTCCACTGGTTCGTCCTCCTCGGAGTCATCTTCCCCGTCCTCCTCCCGTTCGGCTCTTCGCTCGGTACGTTCGGTGTGGCTCACCCTCCATGCCGTGAACAGGCGCTTTATCCACCCTATATTCTTCTCTCGTTCCTCTGCCCGTGCCTTGGTCTTGTCGTTGTTTCGCACCCATGTCTGTATGGCAATCGAGGCTGCCTTCCCCACTACCTGTAGTTCACTCGTCACCTCTCCCGCGAGCTCCCTTCTCTTTCTTTCGGGTATGGAGTCCGTGAGTGCGGGTAGCGTGCAGGCAATCACGGGCGCTATTTTGTCGTACTCCTCTTCGGCGAGCGCTCCAAATCTAGACCCTTTCGCCTTTAAGGAGGCTGCCCTCGCTCGTCTCAGGAATGTGGCGGTGTCTTTTGAGTCCGGCGCCTCCCGTTCAACTCTTGCTGTCGCCCTCGCTGTGTGTTTGTCGAGCTTCCGCATGAAGTGACGCGCCTCTTCCTTATTTCCAGCGCAGCTGCCGCTCAGTATGTGCGCCAACGACAGCAGTCTCTCACTACGAGTGCGAGTGGGTTAAATTCTTTGCGGATCTCAAATTCTTTTCTCTGCCCAAGCCGCGTGAGCAACTTGAAGCGTCTCTGCCCGTCTCTGCCCGTCTCTCCGACGATGGCAGACGCGGAGACGATGGCAGACGCGGAGACGCCGCGGCCCCGCAAGCGCGCGGTGGAGTGGCTGCTTGAGGGCGAGTCGGTCAGGACGAATCGGCACCTCGCCCGATTCGCCGCCGCTCCATATCTGCCTCGCCTGCTCGCCGATCCCGCTTCGTCGGCGCTGCTTTCGCGCTCAAGCCGATCTCTTCGGAAGGAGATAATCGAGGCTTATGGGATGTTGGAGCAGGTCGAGGCGACGTTGCGTGGCGCGGCTCCCGCCGCCATCGTCGACCTCTGCTGCGGAAGCGGCTTCCTCTCGCTCGCGCTCGCCAACGAGTTCCCGGCCGCCGCCGTGCTCATGTTTGACCTCGACACGCGGATCAGGGTGCGGCACGACGCGTCCCACCCCAACCTCCGCTTCGAAGTGGCCGACATCATGGCCGATGGCTTTGGCGCGCGGCTCGGCGCTCTGCTGCGCGAGGCGGGCGGCCAGCGCGGCGGCGGCCCGTGCGTGGCAGTGGGGATGCACCTCTGCGGTGCGCTATCTCCGCGCGCCATCAGTTTGTTTGCCGCCGAGCCGGCGCTGGACTCGCTCCTGCTCGCGCCCTGCTGCCTCGACAAGCGCTTCGACGCCGCGCTCAAGGCGACGGCG